ATAATTTAACTTTTACAACACAAAATAAACATCATCTAATTAAATAATTTGTTTTTTTATTTCTTTATAATAACCAGGGTGTAAGTATTATATTATAATTTAACTTTTACAACACAACATAAACATCATCTAATTAAATAATTTGTTTTTTTATTTCATAGACCATAAGTATTATATTATAATTTAACCTTACAACACAAAATAAACATCATCTAATTAAATAATTTGTTTTTTTATTTTTTATAATAACCAGGGGGTAAGTAATATATTATAATTTAACTTTTACAACACAAAATAAAACATAATCTAATTAAATAATTTGTTTTTTTATTTCTTTATAATAACCAGAGTGTAAGTATTATATTATAATTTAACTTTACAACACAAAGTAAACATCATCTAATTAAATATTTTGTTTTTTATTTCTTTATAATAATCAGTTTGTAAGTATCATATTATAATTTAACTTTTACAACACAAAATAAACATCATCTAATAAGTAAATTTATTTTTTATTTCTTTATAACCAGATTGTAAGTATTATATTATAAATTAATTTTTATAACTAAATAAAATTAATTTTTATTTCTTTATAATAACCAGCTGGTAAGCATTATATTGTATTATAAATCAACTTTTATAATTTTTATATCTAATTAATAATTTTATTTTTATTTATTTATAATAACCAGCTGGTAAGTAGTATATTATAAATTAACACAAAAATAAATTTATTAAAGCATCATTTAATAAATCTTTTTTATATAACCAGGGAGTAAGTATCATATTATAAAATTAACTTTCATAACACAAAATAATTTTTTATTAAAACATCAATTAATTAATAAATTTATTTTTCTTTATAATAACATAATAAACAGCATGTAAGTAACTTTTACAACACAAAAATAAATTTTTATAACATCATCTAATTAAATAGTCTTTATTTCTTCATAATAACAGCTGGTAAATATTATATTATATTATATTATAAAATAACTTTTACAACGTATTGTCTAATTAAATAAATTTATAAATTTATCTTTTTTATGACTTTTAAATGAGTGTTTATATAATTCTATGTTATTTTGAATTTTTTATAATGAAATAATAAGATATCACTAAGGAGTTTAAAGAAAGAAAAGAAGAATATGGAACCTGTTCTGTTTGTGCAAGATATAATACTAATTACCAGTGGTGTCAAT